TTCTGTTAGGAAGACGGACTCCATTGGCTGTTGGACTCCAGGTCACATTGTTATGCTCTGGCACAAGATTTGTCTACATATTGCTCTTATCTGGAGATATCACAGGAGACCAAGATTAAGCACAGCAGACTGATTAATCTGGGGAAAGAAATTTCAAGGCAGTCTAATGTTGAGCTAGCAGTATGGCTATTGTTGGGTTGCTTTGGGCTAGATTTATGTTGAGAATCAAGATCAAAGTGCCCAGCAGAATGATTTAAAATTTTTTTTAGCTTGGCCAGCAAGGAAACTCCAGTTAAATTGCAGACTGCAAAGATGGAGCAGAAGATGTTGAGATGGTTGCCATTAAAAAGCTAAGTACTCTGGAACTGGAAATAGGAAAGATGGCCTGTGGGCATCACAAGAAACAGTAAAACTTCACCTGTTGCAGCTGTAAAGTTGCAAAGGTCAAAGACTTTGCTTTGAGAAGAGAAACCTAGAGAACTCTGTTCCAGAATGGCAGCAAGCTAGAGAATTTTTTCCTCAGGATTGGGTTCATAGTGCTCAACAATCCATGTTCTCTATTTTTACAGCAAGAGAGAAGGAAGCCTGACTATTGATCCAGCTGATGCGGCAGACCTTGGCATCATCCACATGGTGCTAGTTTTAGGCTCATGCAGAAAGAGTTATGCGGTCTGAAAGCCTTCCATCCAGATTTTAGAAGAAGCCCTGGGAGACCAGGCAGTGTGTTCCTGAGAGGATGGTGTGTGAAGCTGTATGAAATGAGTGGTGCAGTGGAGACATCAAAATATTGCAGAAGCCAAAAATATGGATTATCTGAGTAAAGTTGCAAGGAGTGCCACAAGAGCCACAACCACTGGCAGTGCTGTAGGAGTGGATCTGCCCAAGCTCTCTGGAGTTCACATCTGGCCATAGGTTGGCCAGGATGAAACTACAGAACTTAATGTTTGCCTCACTGGATTTTGTATCTGTGTTTGTCTCCTTCTTTTCTATCTCCCTATTTGCACCTGTTGGAATGGAAATGTTCAACTTTTGCCATATGTATGTCGGAAGTGTTTAACTTTCTTTTCCATTGTACAGGTGCTTCCAGCTAAGAGTTTGCCTTTAACTGAAGAAAAGAATTTGAACTTGAACTTTTCAGCAATGCTGAAACTGTTAGAACTTTGTTCAACTCTTACATATGGACTATATGCATTTTGCATAAAGGGATCAACGTGAGTCATTTGGGGACCAGGGACAGAACATTATGGCAGGTATATAGATATCCCCTCAAAGCCTCATGCACTCACTGGTGAGGCTTTTGGGAGGTGTCTGGTAGTAGGATATGTGATGCTGGTATTAAGGATGTGTGGTACTGGATTAGTCGACCAATTGATTCTGCACATTTCTGAGTATGGATAATGGGAAGCCCCACCCTGGATGTGGAGGGCACCACCCAAAAGGCTTGTGGCCTAGACAGGATAAAAGGGAAAGGGAGGCTTGCTGCTTTCTACTGCTTGCTGTCTTCTGCCTGCCGAGCCATGGACTGTTTCTCCTCTGTGAGGCCCCTCTGCCATGCTTCCCTATCTTGGAGTCAGCTGACTATGGACTGAAACCTCTATAAACCATGAGCTGAAATACAGCTTTCCTCCTTTAACTTGTGAGTGTCAGGAATTGTGTCTCTGAGATGAGAAAATTAACTAAGAGTGTAAAAGGGAGGGAGAAAAGTGAGAGGGAGGGAGGAAAAAAAGGAAGAGAGAGAGAAAAGGGAAAAAGGAGGTAGAGAGAGAAGGGAAAGAAAGGGAAGAAGGAAGGACAAGCTCTAAGATGATACCTGTGATTATAGATATGACAGAAAAGACTATAGTGCTAGGAGAATAGCATGATTTCCTAGACTGGGGGTTCACATAGTGAGGCTCAGGAACATTCAAACTCAGCGTGAATATTTGATTACAGCATGTAGATACAAAGCCAGTATTTCAAAAGTAAAAGTCAGAGAAGGTAAGATGTAGCAGACTTGTAAAGATGAGAGTTAGAAAGAAAGAATATTATCTGTGTGCCTGAATGTTTTCCTTTTTGAAATAGGGACAATAATACCATTGAGTTCCAAGGTGCTGTCAGAATGGACTCAGGTGTTGTCTAGGGAAATGCCTGATGGCTCCCCACACTAAAGAGGTTCTCTTGTATTTGTTTATATACCTGTACTTTCACTTCATTGTTCATTCAACAATGTTTGGTCATGATCCAGACCCAAGACATGAAAAGTCTATGCTTTGGAGAGGAAAAAGGGATGGGACAAATATTAAGACTTTGAGAAAGAAAAATGACTGCACTTGGAAACATGTAGAACGTAAAATTAAAAGTTAATTGGCCACTGGGAAATTTTTTTTTAAATCTATTGCTTTAGGGTGTATTAGAGTGTAATAAAATTGCAGAGTTACTGAGCTAATGTTTCTTGACTAATGTTTCTCTCTCCAAAAGAGAAAAATTTCATAGCACCAGAACAGAGCTTTTTAACACTGTTTTTTAAATGATTGGCATATTATTAATATGAGTTCTTGTAAATTTCATGAAAATTATATATATAGTAGAACATGTTTTAATATACATGCACATGGTAGAATTGAGCTAATTATCATATGCGTTGCCACACATAGTTATTACTTTTTGTGGTGTGAACACTTAAAAATTTACCATCATCTGAGTGTGGTGGTACATGCCTGTAATGCCAGCACTTTGGCAGGAAGAGGCAAAAAGACTGCAAGTTTGAGTCCCACCGGGGCAACTTAGTGAACTAGCAAGACTGTGTCTCAAAAGGAAAAGAATTAAGAAGGACTAGGATATAGCTCAGTGAAATGAACATGTGTTCAATCCCTAGTACCATAAAAAATGTACTGTCTTTTTCGTTCTCAGTAGTACACAATACCTTGTTATTAACGATATTCACTGTGATGTACGATATATCTCCTGAACTTATTCCTGCTACCTAACTGAAAGTTTCTATTCTTCTAACACGAATTATTCATAAAGTTCTCCTAGAAAAAGGTTTTCAGTTGTTAAATATGGAAGGGGGAGACTCAAGTAATATCCTGAAGGCATTAAGTTTACAGCGCACTGTCATGAATAAAACTCTGAGAAACAGGTAGAAACAGGTTGCCTCTCACTTATATCAGAACTAACTTGCACACAGCTCATCTATGAGTCATGTATTGTTGTCATGATGGGAATCTGCCTCCTTGCCCTCCTCGAAGCAGATACCTATGTGCCCAGCATTGAAAGTGGCTCATCTCCTCGGAGCTGGTCTCCACAGTGGCAGCCATCTTGGCTTCCATACTAGGAACTGTCCCATTTGACCCAGCTGTTCCCCTGCTGGGTGTCTTCCCAAAAGAATTAAAAGAATCATACCACAGCGATATATGCGCACCCATGTTCATAGCAGCACAGTTTGTGACAGCTAAAACATGGAAACAGCCCAAGTGCCCATCAGCTGGAGACTGGATAAAGAAAATGTGTTTTTTCTTATAAAATGGAATACTACTCAGCCATAACGAACGAGAAACTAGAGACATTTATAGCTAAATGGATGCACATTGAGGCCATACTCTTAAGTGAAATAAATAGGACACACACATCTAAATACCAAATAGTGTCTCTGGTGTGAGAAACTGAAAGTGTAAATAAAGATCAAAATGTGTAATAGATAATATAAAATAGGAAGAAAAGGTGCAAAGGGGAAAGGGAAGTGGGAGGGGAGGGGAATGGAATTAATATGAGAAAAGGAAAAAACAGAAACAAAGTCTTTCTAAATAGGGAAGGGTGGGCAGGGGAATGGAGAAAAAAATAAGAATCAAGATATATCATGTAAAGATACAAATTCCCAATGATGAATGTCATCATATTGTATACCTCAAATGTACCAATCACATCTAAAATGTACCAATAAAAATTTTTTTAAAAAGAAGAAAAGTGGGCCTGAATACTGACATTAGCATCAACCCAGAGTAACCAAGACCCACTGAGGAAAGACCCTACAAGCCCTCTACAAGAATATGACAGGCAAATATTTCTACTACTTTCCTCTGCTGTTAGTAGGCAACTGCCTGAAAATCAGAGGGAATGGAATACTCAGAAACTTTAAGGTGTCTTAAATATAAACTTTGGCCTCTATTTATTTTTTAGGTTTGACACAGTGATTCCACATATTTCCTTAGATTGTTCTTCAAGTTTGCAAGTATACAACTGGGATGAGCAATTTAGAACTTGCAGTATCCTCCCACACACTCTGATTTGTGGCATTGTAATAAGAAAAACCAAGAGGAGTCCTCTAATTCGGCTTAGTAACGATCAACTACTTGGAGAAATGACAAAGGCTAGATCTGGTATGAAAGACAGGACTGATGTAGGAGTAGGTGCCCGTATACCCTTGTTCAAATCCATTGTCTAATCTATCCCAGAACCAATAGGGCCCTAGGAAATAATTGCTAATCACTGTGTACAGGATCACACAGGGCCCCAGTTGGAGACAGTGCTGCAGAAATGATGTATTTTTATTATGTTTATTGGTACATTTTAGGTGCACAATACAGGTGCATTCATCATTCAGATCTTGTACCTGTACAGGATGTATCTTGGTTCATATTTTTTCCCCTTCCCCTGCCCTCCCTTCACCCCCTCCACCCTTCCCTATTTACAAAGACTGTGTTTCCATGTTTTTTCTTTTCTCATATTTTTTCTTTTCCCTTCTTTCCTTTCCCCTGCCCCTCCCACTTCTTCTACTCCTTTAGACCTTTTCTTCCTATTTCACATTATCAGTTATACATTTTGATCCTTATTTACACTCTCAGTTTCTCACACTAGTGAAACTACTTGGTATTTACACACGTGTGTCCTGTTTATTTCACTTAAGAGTATCACCTCAATGTGCATCCACTTAGCCATAAATGTCTCTAGTTTCTCATTCTTTACGGCTGAATAGTACTCCAGGAAATGACTTATTTAATGGAAGATTAGAGAAGGGTACTCACTGTACTTCTGTTTGAGAATTATTCCTTCTTGTGAGTTTCTCCTTCGCATGTTGACTTTTGCTCTGTCCCGCACGTTGGGCATCTTGACATTCTCCTTTGCTTTGCGCTAGTCCATTGCAATTGTGACATCACATTACTGTGAGCAGGCCAGGGCGTGGCAAGTGACCATTTTGCCCTAATAAGACACTGGCATGCTAGCAGGCGAGAGATGAACTACATCAAGTTTTCAGAGTTTGACATATTGGTGGCCCTGTGGTCTGCAACATGTCAGGACATCATTTCTAAAGTCAAAGGCCAGTTTGTCTCATTGTGAACTTCCTTGCACTAGCAAAGACACAAGAGCTTGGTGAGATAGTCAAGCCTGTAGTCAAAGTAGCATCCAAAGTTCTGGTCCAATTCACTGGATGATGAACAAATTTACACTAGACCTGCAATTTAAGATTTTCACGGAAGAAGCATTTGGAGATTTGGATCTGTATTTGAAAGGAGAGATCACTGCTGAAGATAGAGTTTGGGAGCCATCAGAATTTACCTCGTGTGTAGGTCCCTGCTGGAACTGGACAAGTCACTTATACTAGATAAGAGGTCTAACACCTGGGAACCTCAAAACTGAAGAGCATTAACGTAGTTAGTGCTCCCTGTTAAGGCTCTCAGAGGTGGGATGTCATTCATAAAAAGAGGCTAAGCCTGAATTTATTTTTCAATTTATGAAGCCCCTAACCCTAATTCTTCGTCCTCCCCAAACTCCCCCAGGTGTGGAAAAATGAGGCATTTTCATAGTTCTAGTGCTTTCTCACCAAGGAACTTCTTGGCAAATCGTTCACCCAGGTTTGAATTCACCCGGGAATGAGGATTTCTCTTTAAGCCTTCAACAGTTGTGTATTGAGAGCAAAATTTAAGCAGCCTATTTGCCAAGCTGCTCAGCATGAATATGAACAACTCATTTTCATAAGCTCTGGGCTCTTTGAGGAGATTCTAAAACTTATTTAGGATTTGATGATGCTAGAAACAATTTAGAGTACTTGAGCTCTTTAGTTTAGTGTGTATATGTGTGTGTGTGTCTACAAATATATATACACAAAAGAATATAAATTATAGGTATTATTGAATATTTATTATAAAGTGATTTTTCATTATAAAATATATGGAAGACAAGCAAGCCCATAATGCAAAGCATAAAAACAATATTAAAGCCCCTTCCTGGATTTAACCCTTCATACCTTACGGCAGGTTCAGTTACAAGCAATTCCTAGGTTGTTGATTTGCTGCAAGACAGAAGCCTGCAATGGTTCCCTTAGTGATATGAATCCCATTTGGGCATGAAGCAAGAATCACAGAGACATTTTCAGCCTAAGCGACCAAGCATAGAATTTGTAGGGCATGAAATAAAGCCCGAGCAACCACTTCAGAATAGAAAGTCTAGAGGTATTGACACAAATGAATGGTAAACACACGTGCACGCGCGCACACACACACACACGCACACGCACAATCGTTTGTGAAAGAGCCTTTCACCGATAATGGTTTATAAATTGGCCTTTCTTCCTAGTATGTAGCTAGCATGATTCCATTTTAATCATCATTTTTGGGTCCAAGGCTCAGATGATACTGAATTCGAGAAGAACAGACACATCTTAGTTGAGATCCATCTCTCTGTCTCTCTGTCTCTCCCTCCCCCTTGCCTAAAGCAAATCTCACCTCCCCTTTCTTTCCAAGCAAACCCCAGTGTGTGATTTTTCCAAGTCTGAGATTTCTCTCTCTTGGTTTATGGTCAATGTACGCCAAGCTGAGCACAACTGGGGTTTCCATTTTATTAAAAAAATAAACAAAGCCGGCGATGAGACATCACTTCTGCCAACTTTTTAATTATATTTTGATGGCTTTTCAGGAGTAACTCCTTCTCACAATAGTACATCATCAGCAAACAAAATTAAACCCACACCTGAGGGCTCACCAAATCATAGCCACCCTTACGAGAGCAACACAGAACTCATTTGAGAAATGTTCATTTGGAAAACATTTTTTCCTCCCCTCGCTAGTGAATATGTCACCTATACATCCAAAATGGAATCTTTGCATTGTCGTTTCTTTCCAAGATTGCTAACCAGTCCCTCGTATTTGTCAGGTTGCAGTTCCCCAGAGAGAGGTCCTTTGTTGCTTTTTACGGCTGAGTGTCTTTGTCTTTGTGTACAGCCTCTCTGTCAATTCCCCACATGGCAGCCTTGAGTCAATAAAACCTCTCATTATGCTCTCTGATTTCCAAGGGTGATGAGAGACAAAACCTGCCAAGACCCGCACCAATCTCTAAGTGGCAGGTACCAGCACTTAGCACGGCTTTCTCAAATCTGTGTCACAGAGAACAGCATTAGCGCCATTACCGGACACATCACAGATCTGCACTTGCCAAAGTGATAACAATCAACTCCAAAAGCCTGTGCTTCGTCGTTTTTCTAATCACTCTAACAATTTCTGAATTTATCCCAAATCCCAGTCTCATAAACCAGACAAAAATTTAATGGAAATGTAGTGTTTTGTGTCATAGCCTTGGGAATATATGATCACATGCCTGGACGTGGTTGCACCTCTGGCTCTCGATGGGCCATATTTTTAAATTTCAGCTCCTCCTTAATTCACTTAACAAACTGGACATGTTCCTGCCTCAGTCCCTGGGAGGGGGGTGGAGGAGGTATAGAAACACGATGCACTAGAGCTTTATGCCTGCTTCCTTTATTATTATTATTATTACTTATTTGTTTTATTTTTTTCTTCATTTATCTACAAGCATTTATTGCACATCCTCTAACTCTAGGAACAAATTCAGGGCCCAGGAGTGAATAAAGCCAACTTTATAAAATTGGCCCAAACAGATTTTATCCACGTTCCTAGAAGCAGTGACAGCCTGGAGATTGTGCCAGTGTGATTCTACCCTGCGGAACAGGTTTGTGCGGTTAGTGTGGAAAAGAACAATTCATTAGGACCAGGTGGGTCATGTGGCAAAACTAACACAAGATAATCTCTTGGTTTGTGTCTGAGGTCGTGGTATAACTTTTTGCATGGCATGTTATTTCAGTTTCAAACTGCTGCTCATCAGCAAATATAAATTATAGGCAGCCGTCCCTTGGTATGCTTTGTGGATTGGTCCCTGCATTCCCTGGAGGTACCAAAATCTGCACATGTTGAACCCCCAGGTAAAAGGGTGTAGTGTTCACATACCATGTAGGCACATTCTCCTATATACTTTAAATAATCCCTGGATGACTTTAATACCTAGTGCAATAGGTAAGTGATGTACAATAGGTATCACACTACTTGTACAGATAGTACTAACTATGAAAAAGGTTTTACATGCCCACTGCAAATGCAACTTTTAAAAAATACTTTTATATGCAACCCATGGGTATAGAGGGCTGATTGTATATCTAAAGTACATCATGATGTTTCCAAGTCTATATTCACATGATGTGTGGATAATCACATCAAACTAAATAATACACCTTTTCTCACATTTCTGTTTTATGGGTCTTTGTGTGCAGTGAGAATACTTAAAATCTATGCTCTTAGCAACTTCCAAGCATATGATGTTATCACTAACAATAGTCACCATGTTGTACCATAGATCTCTTGAACATACTCCTCTTAGCTAACTGAAATTGTATATCCTTTCACACATATCCAAATAATATGAGATTGGTCCCATTGCTATCTTTGTACAGATGCCCAATTTGTAGTTTTGGTCCAGTATCACCGCATCAGTGAAAATACTGAAATGCTAAAAAAAAAATAAAAAGAAGAAAAAAAAGAAAATACTGAAATGCTAATATATCCTGAAATATGGGTGAACCTCAAAGCCATCAGCTAAACAGGGCACGGTAGCAATGCTTGTAACTGCAGCTATTTGGCAAGCTAAGGCAAGAAGGTCACAAGTTTTAGGTCAGCCTGGGCTACATGGCAAGTGAGAGCCTATCTTACAGTAAAGAGGATTTTTAAGAATGGGGCTGAGGGTGTAGCTCAGTGTTAAGAACGCCTGCCAAGCAAGCTTCAATCCTCTGTATTACAAATTTATATTAAGCAAAAAAATGCCACATGAAAACAGTGTACATATTTATGACTCCACTTACATTAAAAACCAAGGGGAGGAAAATCTATAAACACAGAGAGCAGAGTAGTGGTTGCTGGTTTTGTCATGAGTGATTTTTATTTTGTTTTAACTTTTATTCATTTATGTTTTTAGCACATAATGTTCCCATTCCTCGTGTGGAGCTGGGGCGTGTGCACAACACATCCTCATTCCTTTGCATCCTCTTCCCTCCCTCCCCTTCCATCTCTTGATTCCCTTCCATTGGAGAAAGATCTGTTTTCCTGCTTCCAATTAGCTTTCTTCTATGTCATGCTTTATTTATAATTTGGGTTTCTCGTGTAACAGAAACCGTGCAATATTTAAGCTTGGGTGTCTGATTTATGTCACTTAGCATTATGGTCTCACAGGGCATCCATTTTCCTACACAGGACTCAACTTGATCCGTCTTTATGGCAGAGTAGTACTCCACTGTGCGCAAATACCACATTTTCTTTATGCATTCATCTATTGATGGACATACTGGCTGCTACCAGGATTTAGCTACTATGAGTTGTGCTCTTCTAAATATGAGTGTGGGTGGATCATTGTTGTATGATGTTTCTAACTCTTTTGGGAAGACACCTAGGAGGGGATGAGCTGGGTCAAATGGAATTTCCAGATTTCTGGGATTAGGGCTGGAGGTGATAAAAGGGCCTGACTCCTCATTAATTTTTTGCATTGATGAAAACATACTCCAACTGGATTGTGATGATTATTGTGCACCTCTATAAATTATTAAAAATCACCAAACACAAGAGATCTACAACACACAAATTATGCCCCAGTGATGCTATTAAAAAAAAAAAAAAAGAAAAGGAAATGTCCCTTACTCAAGAAGCAATGAAGTACCTCATCCTTAGGGATGCTTAATTTACTTTCCTACATGGTTTCATCTACACCATCCCCCATAGGTTGGGAAAGTGCAAGGCCTTTGGATAGACTTCTGGACCCACCTTTTCCCCAGCAATCAGC